GGGAAAGGGGGTTCATGCACTTGTTGTTGTGGGAAATACACGCACAATTCGAGAGCTATGCTGACTGAGTTTAACAATTACTATAATTATAGTAATTGTTAAACTCAGTCAGCATAGCTCTCGAATTGTACTATAATTATAGTAATTGTTAAACTCAGTCAGCATAGCTCTCGAATTGTGCGTGTATTTCCCACAACAACAAGTGAATGAACTCCTCCCCCTTTCCCTCTCCTGAAATTTCGGACTGGTTACAGTCCGGGTAAATAACGGTTCACATGTTAGGCAGTGCGATACAGGATGCAGAGAACACAACAGGTATGACTCATGCACTCACAGTTTTCCAATATGCATCAATTATTTCTCTGTGTGAGGGATATAAAAATTAAAGTTATACAGTCTGTTAAGAACTGTGATTTCTGGGGTAGAAGTATGAATGCAATAGTTATAGGGGACTGAGAAGTAGTGTCAAGTGCAGGAGAAGCACCACGACATAATGATAAGCTTATATCTGTATAAGAATTGTACCCTCCATCTTGGCTTTTCCTTACAGAAGATACTACCAATTTCATTACTCTCACTCCTATTCCACACAGTGTCACACCTCTCCATGCTCCCCCAGTACACTGAAGCTACACCACATTTCTTGCTCTGATATCTACAATGACATAAGTTCAGCCACAGGGTCATAAATATAAGTTGTATTCTGCAGCTGTCTGCATACACAGTACAAAAGTACCTCTTGTTCGATGTTCCACAGTTACACCCCAAAACTGCCAAATACTTTGTGGCACTGATGGTTTCCCATCTCCTTCTTACATTATACATCTAGAAAACCATCAATGCCATAAAGCTGGAACTGTAAATTTCACGTGTCTTTCAGCATATTTAAATGTGATTACTGTTTGATGTTCCTGTCATATCGTGCCACAGTGATGTTATCATCCATTATGTATTGTCACCAATACACATCATTGATTACATCAATCATCATCATTACATCAATGATGATAATAGAAATACAGCTTTACAGTCACGGCATACTTTATCTAAGTTTCTCAAACTGTCCCCATCCCATTGGATTGCAATCACAAACAGGCTTACACCCCAACTGTAACTAATAACATCCAATTCTTGTTGTGTGAAGTACAACAGTATTTTGAAATAAAACATGGTACCAAGAAATTGACCTCTACCACACTTACCTCTTTGGCATTCTCAACATCAGCCTGGTTGATATCTGAAATGCTAATGATATGGGGACATTTTCTTCCTCTGCCTGCCATACTTCTGTAATTTCTGTAATTTCGAATTATAAATTTATTTAATGTATATGTTCAGTTACATAATGTAAACATCACTACTCATTAATAAACATTTTCCTGCACAATTATTCACATATCTGGTACGAAACTTGTGCATATACTCTTCCCCCACTGCCACTGCTTCTAAACACGATATAAACCGTATAAACCATTAACAAAATTTCAACTCGAAAAACATTAACCTGAATCAGCAGAAACGAATACTCGAGATCCTCGAGACTTGTCACACAAGTTCACACATCCACATGTAGATGGGCCTGCATTCGATGCGAAACCCCTTCATTTTACTAGACTGGCATTAATGTGTAAGAACGAAACATGAAATCACTGTCATACCTAACCGACAAATACGTTGCAACAGAGACCAAGATTCAACGCCATTAGTAAATAAGAGTACTAACTATTTCTCATCTTGCCCGAACGAACACCACCAACGCCAAGCAAAATGCCACACAATCCTAACATCCTAACGATCCTAACCACGGATCCTCACCGCACCTAAAAAAGATAGTGCACTGGAGCAGGACCCACACGACTCCCTCTGATGGTCACATTCATAACACGAAGTAGATAGCGCTGCCCAGCAGCTCAGCAGTCAGTGGTGGTCAGTGGTTCTCTAGGCTCTGAAACGCATGTTAACCATTAAGTTATTGAACTAATGTTTGGTTGGGTACCTATAGTGACATGATGGGACATGATGATTTAAGTCGCAATGTCGAGCGAGAAGAAATAGTTCAAAAACACATTGAAGAAAGAGGCCTGCTTAATGCAAACCAATTTGGTTATGATACACCCAAAACACCTGGAGTCTATCTTGGTCTCTTTGTTGATGACACCTGTATATATATAGTCACGCGCGACAAATAACTTCACGCCCTATTTAATATAGCGAATTTATTGAACACTCGTTCTTACAATCACACAATTTACAGTCTCACAATTACTGCCATCGGCAGTATCACAAATACTTCTCCTGTAGTCACAGCCATGCACTCGATACAACCCGACTCGGCGACTGCTACAATTCAACGGACTGGTTAATCGTTACTCACCAGTAACTCACTCTCTCTAGTAACTAGCTCAATCCTCACTAACAAATCCCCCACTCCTGACTGAATAGCGTTCGCTGCTCCTTATTTAGCCTCGGCATGGACAACACAGAAAACAGTTACGTGTAAGGTACCGCTGTTGCCTGAAGCCGTGTTTACAGGTGTTGCCAGCAACGCTGTCGGGAGTTGTTTACGGCTGGGTAGTAACCACGGTATTCCTTGTTGCGTGACGCCGTGTTTACCGGTGTTGCTAGCAACGCTGTCGAGAGTTGTCTCCTGCTGCGTAGCAACCGCGGTAAATCTTGGTAACAACACAGCCGCTCCTCTACCACGTCACCGCGGGGGAGGGTGGCGCCCACCGAGCGTTGCGTACTTCACTCACGAGCTCACGAGACCACAGAGTTTATGCGACCCTTACTTCCCGTTGCGCCATCCACGTCACAATAGATATGCAATATACCGCAAAGAGGGTTATGTTCTCGAAAAGCTACAACGAGATCTCAGTGCTACTGAGACGAGGTGGGAGCTCTAGAACATAAGAATCTATGAAGATAAGACTCAGGCCACTCACGATTCCCATAGACGTAAACGCTTTGCGGCTCATCTTACAATGAATGAACGGAATATCCCCTTCGTCAATCGTGAAATATCTCTGTGTAATCATCTATAAGAGGATTACATGGAGACTGCACATAGATATTATTGAAGCCAAGGCCTTCAGGACATTTATTAGAATCTACTTCCTATTCAAAAGTGAGCGTTTAAGCGTCAACATTAAACTAAGCCTGCACCTGCAGAACACGGTTCTCGGCACCACTGAAAATTCCCCAGCATGCACTCTGGTTCGCGATTTGAACACGGCTTTCAACTTTCCGTATATATACAATGACGATTGTGCAGACAACATGCAGAGGTCGTACAAATTCACGACAAAGACCACATTCCCAGCATAAGACAAGACGAAGCCAGACACAAAAAATATGTGACTGAGCTGCCATTGTTGCATCAAATAAATATGATAGGCACGATCTGCTTTACAAAGCCTGGGCTTACAGAGAACATTAATATTGTAACGTGCACTTCCTTGGCAACAAAAGCACAAATTTTGACTTACGTAATCTTACTGAGAATGATCAGAGTAGACAATCTCCTACGTCTGTTTCACACTTTCCTTGTTCCACAGTATGGTTGGTTTTTAAATGATACATGACTAACTCTAAAGCTGTGATGCCACTTAACACAGTGGACTGGTACAATGTCTGGCACACAACATCCAAAGCATAGGAAACACTTCCCTTACCAGCTTTTCTAATTGCTTACAAAATTTCATGTTAATCTACTGTTCAAGGAGATTTATTTTAATTTTAAAACTTGCCATATGCTCATATTTCATTCTCCTCTCCAACAAACCTCATGTTACAGTCTAATGACAACTGAATAATTGTACTGTGTACAGGATGCATGTAAGTCTTTATATACCTATGAATCTCATGCACATCTGCTGCAAGCTTTTCTGACCTGTGACTCTTTTAAAGCTACCAAATATTATGCATGTTTAAACAAGATATTTGTTTCATATACATTAAACTCCATTATACAGTGTCCAAGCACATGGGATTCACATGAATCCTGCAAAATTTCTTTGGTGTTTCTTTTTGTAGTTCAAAACAAAAGTTTCAACATATGGTCAACCATGTGGTAGTTCTCCCAGATGCCATCGACAGCACCATCGTTCTCCCTCATGCAAGCATCATTGTAGTCCACAGCAGTGCAAGATTACAATAAAGGTTGGTCAAATCCGTGATCATGCTTCAGCATATCTGAAATCTTACACCCATGAATCTTCTCTCTCCTAACAAGACTTCCATGCAAGAACTAAGGCAAAAACGTGTTAATGTGTCATGCGTTAGTGACTAGACATGGAGTTTGGACTGGTAATTGGATTTATTTAACACTTATAATTTGTAACTACAAGTAAAACAGTTTCATGGACCTACACATTCTACATGTCACTACTATGCTCACTATGTCTCTGTAATGGCATTCACTGGGTGTCACCAGGCTATGGCTGCCAACCATGGAGATTCTTCAGCTTCTGTGCTCATGCCCTTCCTGGGTGGCAGATGGCTTGCAATTCTTACTCATGAATGGGAACTCCACTTTGACAAGATCAGGAATCTGACTACAAGTGGTCACTCCCCTTCTCTTGAGGAGTGACTCTGATGCCCCCCCCCCACACACACACACACACACTCTCTCTCTCTCATTCACTCTCTTAGGGACTAACCACTTCACTCATTCGCAACTCCTTCACTCCTCTGCCCTAAATGTTTCAGAGACTGGTCTCTACCTCCATCTTAAGGTAAGAAAGACCTACACAGTTGGGTGCCATCAAATGGTCTGGAGATACGGACTAGCCAATCAATTTGGCCTGAGTAAGCTTTTTACCTGAAGGCAGAGGTAGAGTCCAGACTTTGGAATGTTGTTTGAAATAAAAAAAAAAACAGGGCAATGGACAATGTCCAAGAAGCCAGTAACTGTGTTATTTTGACTCTGAAACAGAAGATGAAAATGGAAGACAGGAAAAAGGCCAAAAAGAATCAGTGAGTTCTAAGTTTTCCTCATGCAACAGGCACATCTCTTTCCCCATACATGTCTGACAGCAGGGAATGTATTGCACTAGGTTTCCTGCAAAGTGAGTGGTTAAACACACATTAACTCTGTATTCAAATATTCATATCATGTTCAGAAAATGTGATTCTATCATGGTATTCCTTTCCTAATTATATGTATGGCAACAACCAGACTTCAAGATAATAAGAACAAAGATTTGTAGTATTGTTGCACCTAGCAGTGCACCTAAAATGCTTGCAGAATCTTTACATATTCAGATTTTCTGATAATGAGTTTGGCCACATGTCACTAATTTTTTTTTTCCTATTGGATAAAGATGATGGAAATATCACTAGAATTATTAAGAGTCCTCAGAGAAAAAATACTGCCTGATACATTAACATGTCCATATATCCAACCATCTTACACTAATGTTGTAACAGAATAGCCTCTTGGTCCATCCATTCAGACATACAAGAAGCTTCCAGAATTGCAAATTCTTAGAATAGAATAATATAAGAAAATTCTGAAAATGTAAATTTCACTGGTCATAAGACAGTGTCTGTGTGGCCATTACTTCATTAATTACATCCAAAATGTTACATCACATACTGAATCATGTGCAACATGCCATTCACTTTGTTAATGGATATCACGAAAAGGATTTGGAAGCTACCTGTATAAATATAAAAAAGTAACCCATTAACTGGGATAAGAAAATAAGACAGCTGCATTCCAAAAATCATCTTCTGTTGCCTAAGTGGACAGGCAATGTCGATCAAACTCTGGATGACTTGGCAGCATTTCCTCAAGCAATCTTTGTGCATGATGATATGAGGGAAGTTCTAAATCACTGTATGCAATAGGAGGAGCCTTTAAATATTTTCCAAGGGAATGAAAGAAAATTAGCTAAGATGAAAGAAAAATTGTAACATAAATCTGTAGCAAGGAAATGGACATGTATTTCTAGCAGTTTCAATGACTGTGATATTATCATTATCTCAAACTAAAGGAAATAGAATTATTTCAAAATGTAACCACAACCACTAAAATAACACCACAATAAGTACACCATATGTTTTCTAAACTTGTCTTTCCACATCATAAATTGACTACCACCATACATGGCTATAAAACAGTTATTTTTCTATTTTAGATATGAGGAAGTATGTAAACTTGAAACTTGATAATTTCACCTCTGATGGTCGAATTCTGTGGATTTCACATGTTTAGTAAATAAAAATTTCCTCTTTTGATATACCTATAATCAGCATTTCCTTCAATTTTGAAAAAAAAAAAAAATGTATATAAATCCCCTGAAAACAGCCAAAATATATGTATAGAGTAAATAATATGAAATTCCAAGCCACACTCTTAAAGCTTAGTTTCATATTGCATAGATTTCTAATCCTAGGAATCTACTGCGGTTATTCTAATTTTTACATAGCAAAGTTCGTATGACTTATAAACTCATACATAATGCATAGTATATATAGGGGATGGACAAAATAATGGAAACACTACAGATACCATACACATTTACACTGTGGCAATGGTTCCATAATTCTGATGGAACTGTTGCCACAGTATTACTATCATCACCACAGGGACCTAAAAGAAACACACACAGCACAATAGCCACAAAATACCCAATCCCTCACAAAATGTACTGGGACGGGTTTCCTACCCAAAACAACATGGCTACACCTCACATAGCAATAAGAATACGGAGGACAGACATTACATAGCAACAAGAAGGGTGTAAATAAAACATGATTTCCTATCCAAAACGTGGATAGAGCTCACATAGCAATAAGAATACTGAGGATAGACATTACATAGCAAGAGTGTAAATAAAACATGACTTAAAGTGTTCCAAAGCAGGAGACTAGTAGACGACTGGTGGAAACTGAGAATGTCAGAGATAGAGAGGGGGGGGGGTAGAGAGAGACACTCGTTGTTGTTTACATTCCCTACAGAACGGACAATACTTTGTAACATGAGGCACCGACTAAATAATTAACATTAATATTACTACATCAACATCACGAGCCTCCAATAACAGTCTATATAGAATACTCCAATTTGTCCGTGGGAAGGCAAGAAAATCACAAAAACCAATGACTGACTTGATGATGTAAAGCATCAATCGAAGAATTTTATTGTTTTATACTATAACTTTTGTTTTACATAATCTAATTTATTGCATTTTTACTACAAGTATTTTAATATAATTAACACTTTGTGGACTGGTGGCATATTATTATGATTTTAGGACACATTATGTTGAAACACACTATACCTTGCAGTGGTGCCAGGTAGACGCATGGCTGGTGCATGATAGACCTCTTGAATGTTTGCTTTGTAGTCAGTAACATGACCCCACTCTTTTCCTTTCCCACTCCAACATGGGGGAAAAGTAGACAAAACGCCTGCTTTGGGACAGTTTACTGGAAATCCAGGGGTGAAGCAAATTCCATCGGACCCAAATCCACAATTCACATTTTGAGCATGGTTGATGTTCAGAGGAGACATGGACAGGTAAAGAAGCCTGTTTATATTTCCAAGTATAATATGTTCATGAAGGGAGTTGATAGAGCCGATCAGTACTTGGCCTATTATTCTCTTCCTTGGAAAACAGCAAAGTGGACAAAGAAAGTTGCCTTGTGGCTTATAAATTGTGCCAGTTTCAATTCATTTTTGGTTTTCAAAAATATAAACCCTCATTCAAAATTGAAATACAGGGCATTTCTGCTGAATGTGGCAAAAGCCTGGGCTACAGACCAGACGGTGGCGGCAGACACAGACTTAGTGCAACCGGGTTCATCAACTCCCACCCCACGCAGACCTCATGTGGACCCCCCTGAGTGACTCTCAGGTGATATGCGGAAACATACCCTTGTGAAAACTGTGAAGAGTGAACATGCCAAGAGGAAGCAGCTTTCTAGGCGATGCCGTGTTTGCGTAGTACACAACAAAAGGAGTATGACTGTCTACATGTGCAAGTTCTGTGTAATGCCACTTCACAAAGGGGAATGTTTCCAGAAATATCACTCTCTCAAGCACTTCTAGGAGCAGTGGTAAGTGTTCTCCAAAAATTTTAGTTCATAAAATTAATTAGGAGATTTTATATTAATTTTTAAAGTGAACAGTGCACAAGTTAGGGTAGTAGGTTTAAAACTGCCGGTCCCCCGGGTTATTTAAATATTTAAATCACTGGTCCGCAAAGTGTTAATATTATTGTATCCAATTTTATTAGTACTGCAGTTCAGTGGTTATATATATTGTCATGTGTTGGGTAGGTCACGCGACAAGTAACTTCACGCCTTATTTGATACAGCAAATTTATGGAACACTCGCTCTTACAATCACACAATTACTGCCATCAGCAGTATCACAAATTCTTCTCCTGCTGTAGTCACAGCCATACACTGGATACAACCCGACTCGGCAATTGCTAGACTGAAACTGACTGGTTAATCGTTACTCACTAGTAACTCACTCGCTTGTAACTGGCTCAATCCTCACTACTGAACAGTGTTCGCTACTCCTTATTTAGCCTCGGCATGGACAACACAGAAAGAAGTTACGGGATAGGTACCGCTGGTGCGTAACGCCATGTTTACAGGTTGCTTAGCAACACTATCAAGAGTTGTTTACTGCTGTGTAGTAACCGCAGTATCCCTTGTTATGTCACCACAGCAATGGTTGCCTAACACAGTTGCTCTTCCATTACATCACTGCGGGGGAAGGGGTGTTTACCGAGCGTTGTGTACTGATGGAAGGAGTGGGAGACGCAGACTTGCGAGACGCAGAGTTCACGTGACCCTTACTTCCTGTTGTGCCACCCATGTCACAATATGTTCACCATGTATTCGCCTGATGATGGCTTTTAATAGCTGAAACATGTAGCAGAGCCATAACTAGGCACTGACTTTGATATAATTGTGTTGTGATGGTTTTAATAAAGACGTTGTATGGTATGATAATTATTTACATACATGCCTTAATCTACAATGTACTGTTTTAAAACGAGACAGGATATTTTCTTTTATGTTTTGGCATAGAAATTTGAAGATTTAACTTTATGTAACCCTCTTTATTTTTACATACATTACTGAAACAGATAAAATTAACTTATTCTAACAGTGAGCTGAAATATGATTTCTGAACACGACAAACCGCCAAGTTCTAACACAGGATTTACTTCAGGGTTATGTAGTTGACACTATGACACCACACGCTGATACCTGTTGTCATGTGGAAAAGTCAACAGAGAATTCATCAGTTCATCTGCATCAACACCACCACCACTGCACATTCTGAAAGCAATCAAATGACTGATAAATGATCAATCTCCATGGCCACTGCTGTCTCAGTGTTTTGTTTCCTTATGGACATGGGTTACTACTTAGTTAGATTATATCCTGCAGCATCACAAACATCCTTGTATGGATTCCACTAACCCATTCAACCACTGACATGAAAACAATCATCAAATTATAGTGGTTTACAAAACTGAAATTTGTCACATTCACAGATCAGAATTTTAAGTTGGTTATTTAATTACAATAGCAGTATTAAGACTACAGAGTGTCAAGTCATAAATCAAGAATTGGCTGAAACACATCTACAGAAAATAAATGGTATTCTCAAGTCACATGCTAAAACTGCTCTACAGGACTTTTCTGAATATGGACAGGGTTATTTATAGCATAAAACACTTTTCTTTTCCATTATTTTCCTTTTGTTCTATTTGCTAGTTGCTAGAAGACCATATCCAATCTAATGCTTAAAACAATCTTAGGTCTATGTGGTCTAGTGGTCTGAGTTCCTGGCTACAGATCCAGAGGTCCCAAGTTCGATTCCCGGTGCTATCAGATTTTCTGAGAAGTAGTGGGTCTGGAACGGAGTACACTCAGCCCCGTGAGGATAACTGAGGAGCTATTTCAATGAAATAGTGGCTCTGTTCTAAAGAACAGAGATTAACGACCATCGGGGATTCACTGTGCTGACCACGCAACACCCTCTATCTGCCTAAAGGTTGGCACTAACTTCGCCGACAAGCGGCAGTTGCTCAGTTGGTATATTTCGCTTGCGGACTGCAGGCCACGGAGTTTATGTCCACTGATTCTTAACAATGGTCAACTGTGAGTTTTATTGTATAAAGTGATCTATTCTGTACTTATAAGCATTATCCAATGCAGCTCTACAGTGGTACACACCAGAAAATGTCATATCACATCCTTTTATTTTCAGAACCTGAATTTACGTGGGGCAATCCAAAAGTTACCGAAATTTGAATTTTGTGCGCGAATGGTTATGAGTACATCAAAATACCACTAGGTGTCTCCTCACACATCCTTCTTGAATCAGTGTGGCAAGCGGTGTCGAGTTGAGTGGTTGGGTTTATTGTTGGTGAACGTATTTCCATTGTTGTGTTTCCGTGAGTTTGTGGTTTTGCGATGGCTGACCTGAGAGAGCAGTGTGTCTGTATAAAGTTTTGTTTCCAACTTGGGAAAACCGCTGCAGAAAGCACCAAATGTTGAAGCAAGCTTTTGGTGAAAACAGTTTAGGCCGGACACAAACTTACAACTGGTATAAGCGTTTTAAAAATGGCCGAACACTGACTGATGATGATGATCGTTTGGGACGGCCGTCAGTGGGCAAAACACCAGAAAATGTCGCGAAAGTTAGGGATCTGATTCTGCAAGATCATAGATTGATCATCCAAGACCTCTGTAACACCTTGGGACTAAGTTATGGTACATGTCAACGAATTTTGTCAGAGGAACTGAACATGAGGATTGTGGTGAGGTCTGTGCCACGACTGCTGCAAAATGAACAGAAGCAGCATCGCTTGGAAGTCTACAGAGAACTTCAGCAACAGCTTCAAGACGATCCAAACTTTCTGTCGAAGGTTGTCACTGGTGACGAAAGTTGGGTTCATGGCTATGACCCTGAAAGCAAGCAGCAATCTTCACCTCGGCCAAAAAAAGCTTGACAAGTCAAGAGCAACATTAAGTCCATGTTGATCTGTTTTTACTTTATATTGACGGGATTGTTCATAAGGAGTTCGTCCTTCCTGGTCAGACAGTCAATAAAGAGTTCTATCGCGATGTTCTAAGGTGTCTGAGGGAGGACATGAGGAGAAAACGTCCAGAGAAGTGGCGCATGAACGACTGGGTACTCCACCATGACAACGCACAACCACATACGGCTTACATAGTGCAGGAATTTTTGGCTGAAAACAAGATGGCAGTTGCTCCCCACCCACCGTACTTGCCAGACTTAGCTCCATGCGACTTCTTTCTCTTCCCCAAGATGAAAATCAAGTTGAAGGGGCGAAGATTTGATACAGCTGAGGAAATTCAAGCGGAAACACAGATGGTACTAAACACCCTAACAAAGAAAGACTTCCAGGATGCATTTGAAAAGTGGCAGAAATGCTGGGATCAGTGTATGCGCTCCCAAGGGGACTACTTTGAAGGTGATGGTGCAGAATAAGATTTAGGTAAGATGTAATAGTTTTTATTAATATATTTCAGGAACTTTTGGATTGCACCACGTATATCTGACAAGAATAATTCAGTGTCTGGTTCAAGACATGTCAGTTAAAAGTTTAATATAAAGTTTATAAAAGATGTACACTATTTTGTGTGTGTCTGTGTGTCCCTTACTCTGGTCTGTGGTTTATTGCCCATATAACTGAACCACTCACTTTTTTAAACTCAACTTTGTAATCCTACCTGATGAACTCCTCTCTATGTTGTGATGATGCTCTTGGATGATTCAGTAAAATGAAGATACAACTCTGTAACAGAAATTGCAAAGCAAGAACATAGCTTCCACTTTCAATTTTGTTAATTTTAAAATATAATTGAAGTATGGCACTAAAAAAAAAAAAAGAGAATATTCTTACTCCGAGTAAAACAAAATGATATCCCAGAGGTATCTCTTAATCTAAGGATTCTGCACAGTGCAAAGCATTATGGAAATTAGGAATAACAATCTTATTTGCCCATACAGTGGTTTAAAACTGTTAAAGCTGGTTGCAAGTTGTTCAAATGACAAACTGAGAAGAACAACTGTAGCTATGGTTTATTTTGTTATTTCACAATGTTATATCAATACATTCGCTCCCATATGTGGCCAGTGGCCAGATAAGTGTTCCCACATGAAGATTACCGTATCTGACTTAGGTCAGACAACAATGTATGCAGATTCCTGTTTGTCATAGTTTATAAGCAGTGTTTCCAGATTCTGCTGATCAATGAATGTATTAAAAGAACCCTGACATTTAAATACATTGGGCTGGGTATTTAAGTTACCAATTGAGAGGCTGGTAGTGAATGTGTTAATGGCTAAGGTAGCACCAAATGAGACAGAGAAGGATGGGTGTTTATGAATTGAGAGAGATGTAAGATATAGTGGCTTATTTTGATGTACATATGCATTATTCTGGATGGACTGGGGGAGATTTTGGTCAGGATACATGACCCTGGCTGAGATTCATACTAGGTACTTCCCAAATGTGAGTATGACATGTTTCTGTCGTGCCAACCAAATTAAGCAAATGTTTTGGTAAACAGATATGATAACAGATAACAAATGTGATTTCATGGTACATTAAGTTCTTTAGATGAGGCAATGTTTCATTTACCATAGGAAGTAATGGTCACAAAATTCTGGATACAATGAAATATTTACAAGCTGTATAAGAATGTAAAAAATTATATAAAAGTTAACGATTTTTAAAAGACTTGTGGCTTTAGAACCCAAACTGAGATCTCTTCAATTTTTCTGCATACAACATACAGTCTGGTCAAATCTTTGGCACATAGTGTAAGGTACATTCAATCCCACTGACTGTATGAATTCACACTCAACCCAGGACATTAGGTTTGTAAGTACGGTAATTCACATGTTTACTGGAAAGAGTCAACACTATTAAGGAGCTTTGTTACATGGAGGTGAAAGACAGCTACATACTAAACAAAAACTATGTCTCACTAAGATCTAAGTTTTATTTTCAGATTGACATCACGTACGCAAGAACGCACATCGTGCACACATGCACATACACAAACACAGTCTTTTAAACTGTCATACAACATGTAAGCAGTATTCAGATCATGAACACTGGAAATATTGCAGGATATCCTATATCCACCCATACCAACAATAGTATCCACATTCTTTATACAATATTATTACGTGAAAAGACTGGGGGTTCTACCCATGCTCACTCTGCTTACTAACCCCAAACATCGGGCTTCACCTATACTCATTTGAGCCACGCTTGATTCATATTTCCCACATCCTGCAATTAAAACAAATCTTTTATTGGTACTGCCGATATTTGTGCTGTTTTGTGTATTTTTTTTCTACTGTATTCACAACTGATACCCAATTACCCCTTTTCATTTAAGTTATAACAGTAATCTGAACATAGACATGTGTAAAGACAATGACAGATGCAATGGCTGACAGGGATATTGCACTTTCGATTCAGCACAAAAAGTACACAGAATCAGTGTGTCTGAAGAAGTATAAATACAATTCAATCAAAACATCCACTACTGAAAAAATAAAGGTTTTAAGCAGCTCTTCTAAATAACAATTTTTCATGAAAATGAAAACAACTTAAGACAGAGATTAAGGGCTGCGCCATAGCTCAAGCAGTTAGTCACTGGCTTCCCACCGCGGTGGCCCGGGTTCGATCCCGGGTCTGGTCAAGTGGGATTTGTGGTGGACAAAGTGGCACTGGGGCAGGTTTTCTCCAAGTACTTTGGTTTCCCCTGCCAATCTTCATTCCACCAATTGCTCCACAATCACCCTCACCTATCATCTGGGGCTGGTACAATAGACCAGAAGTGGCCACAGTACAAGGGACTTAGTCCCATCCCACTAGCAATTAAAAAAAAAAAGACAGATTACTGCTGATAAATCCACCTATCAACAAAGTTAGCACAGAATAATACACTCTTCCAGGATGTTACAATGTGTAGTAGAGTAAAAGTCCACTGATGTTTCAGAGGAATATAATACTTCCATCTTCAAGGTCAGTAAGAAAGCCAAGCAAGAAACCAGCATGAAGTAGGTGGCTGCCTTACTCTTCAACTCTGAGGATGAGGCAGTATGTTTCTAGAAAATGTTTGTGGATATCTACCAAATTACATGGCATTACAGCCCAAAACATAGTACTCCTCATAGTCATGAGTGGGAGAATGAATACCCAACACAATCAGTACTACTTGCAACCAGCAAATGCAGTGCTCTATCAATGCACTGTGTTAACATATCTCACACAGCATCATTATAATTTTATTGCATATAGAGCAATGTGATAACAACATACACATAATACAGTATTTTAAATATATTTCTAATATATGTTACTAAAACTATTAACCAGTGGCCTCCGTAGTCTAGGGGTAACGTTCTCACCTCATGACTCAAGGTACGCGGGTTCAAACCTGGCGGAGGTCGTGGAATTTTTAAGGGCGGAAAAATTCAGGGAACAAGTCCTCTCGGAGGGACTTTAAGCCATGGGCCCCGTGTCATAGATTTACGGCACGTAAAAGATCCTCACGTCTCTAGGAGACCTCTGAGCAAAATTAGGCAAAATGTTTCCTGCCCAAGTAGTTTCCAATGCCTCCAGTAGATGGGGAAGTTATCGGGTACCAATGCCAGTAGAGGGCCGACTTCGCTGGCAGAAAGGGGAGATAGCGGGCACCAGTAGAAATTAAAGGGGGATGTACAACAGACTATGGGTGCATGGGGAAACCCACCCCCTCTATACTGAATAACTGAAAACTATTAGCCTCTTATAATCTTCTAAGGGTTTGTAACAAACATCACACTCAAGTTGGTAGCACTCCTGCTTCACATGTGGGAGGTCGAGCTTGCATCTTTCCCTGGGAACCTGGTATCTGTGGGTTTTCACAACTTCTTCAGTCCTTCCAGGCAAATGCTACAATAGTACAGATCCTCCTCGATTTACATAATAGTCTTTTTATAAAAAAAAAAAAAAATAAAGCTATCCCTGTAATGGGCCATGAACACTCATAGGGTTGTGAGACGTTGAGGGTCCCACATTATCTAGACAATTGGCTCAAAGATGGCAGTGAGGTTGTCAGCCTTATGAGCCAGCTGTGCTTTACTCCCCAGGAAAATGATTTAATTAATTCCTGGTACTCATTTCTGTTAGAGGCTGAGTCGACCCCAGGGCCATAGTGCGGCCGGAAGGATTAGGTCATTTGAAAAATCCAATGACCTCATCAGGACTTAATCCATGACCTTATGGCTTGTAACATAGTGCCTCAACCAAATATAAAAAGTAGTAGGTGAAATCACAATAATTGAACATAATTTCCCTATCAAAATGAATGGAAACATCTAGGATCAGCTAGAAAATTGTCACAAAATTCTAGCCATTACTTAATCTGATTGTCTTGTGACATACAGTAAATCATTTTTTTATTTTAATAATATTTATACCATTTCAGCATGAATAAATGTTTTATACTGAAAAATATCAATCATGATATGAACTACACTATATCATTTTTCCCCAAGATTTATATACTCTGTAGGCATCTACCCTGGGACTCTCTGAATATGTAGATCAATACACTAGCCACCATTTGAAAGGTCCTGCATTCAATTCCAACTGCTATCATTAATATTATAAACACAAAAAGGAAGTAATCTGTCAGTTTAAAAACCAACCATGAAGTCAGAAGCAGAGTCAAAGTTTAAAACATTCTGTACATCAAATACACCTCATGGTATGGGTACCACCCAACATAATACAGTGTAAGGTAAAGAGTAAAGTTTTCCCCATGCTTAACTAATTAAGCACTACACCATGAAGGTGTATAGGGGAGCAGATGTTTAGATCCAAGTGTAACATATGTTAATTCTCATCTAGAAATTACTACCCACAAATGGATTATGTCATCTGGAAAATATGCATCAATACTCACATGACATCATTACTGATCTCTTGAATGGATTTTAAAAGAAAATGTACTAGGAAAGAACTCTACTAACAATTGCAGAAAGTTTAATTCTATGTCATTATTTTTGGGTTTCAGCCCAATAGAAGAGGACTGATCTGGTATACAGATGGTTCCAAGATAAATATGGGCACTGGAGCTGGTGTGTACTGCTATGGCACAAGGCGGAAACTTAGTTTCAGCCTTGGGCAGTAAACAACAGTATTCCAGGCAGAAGTATATGCCATTATGGCATGTATTATGGAGAATTTAGATAGGAACTATAGAAAGAGGAACATCTACATTCTATCTGACAGCCAAGCTGCATTTAAAGCGCTTGACAAACACCATATCAACTCAAAATTGGTCTGGGATTGCCACCAAACCCTCACAGAACTGGCCAAACTTAACAGGGTACAACTGATATGGGTGCTGGGGCATGAGGGTATTGCTGGAAATGAAATAGCAGACCAATTGGCCAAGATTGGAGCTGAACATCCATTCAGAGGACCTGAACCAGCCTGTGGCATATCTATAGGAGTTGCCAGAAAGGTAATCAGGGACTGGAAAAATATGAATCACAAGAAATACTGGGGATCCTTGACTGGATTCAGGCAAGTAAAGGGACTCATACGAGGACCCTCAGCTAAGAGAGCGAAGGAACTGTTGAAATTAAACAGGAACAAGCTACGATGAGTAGTGGGACTACTTACAGGACACTGTTACCTTAAAGGACACCTCTTCAAACTGACAGTCCCACTTGTGAGAGGTGTCAAGAAGAAAATGAAACAGCCACACATATCCTGTGTGAATGTGAGGTCTTAGCTTATTTAAGATTACGCCTCTTGGGCCAATACTTTATGGAACCAAGTGACTACTTCATTCGAAGTGCAGGATTGCTGAGGGGACAATCAGAAGGGGAAGCTCAACAGTGCACTGTAGGTCGCGGTGCAAGGGCTGAGAAGGCCTACCCCTCATACATTCATTCATTCATTCATGTCATTATTTTTGTTGCAATGTCCTTGTTAATTAAAATTTATTCTGAAAGAAAACCATACAAACCTTCAACATCACTCGTTTAAGAAAAAGTGAGCCTCCATCCAGCAGCATTAATAAAAGTTTTGCAGCATCAATCCAGTTGTGACGAAGGAAACACTTCCTTAGCTCTAACATCGTGTAGGTATGGGAGAATGGTGTAACCACTGTTTCAGAAGACAAACAGAATACTGTGACGGTGATTTCATATCCACAAGCAGCTGCTCAATAGGAAGCCAAGTGTCAATCTTGCAGGGCAAAACAGAACTAGACACTCTATGCAGAGAATGTTTTAAATTGTTTTAAAATAGCTCTTAAAAATAATACATACATTCTAATAACTTTTAGTCCACATGCATGATATGAAAACAGCGATAAGGTGAAAATTAGTAAATCCTGAATAAATTAATGTAACAAACCAAAACCAAATCAAACAGCTGACACCAAGACACACCATATTACTTTAATGCTAAACCACATCATATTGTATATATGTTAACACTGCCCCAGTTTTGTTTCTGTGCAGCCTTTATTACAATAAAAGTAATGTGACTGTACAACAGGGCCCAACTGTAACATGATTCACCATGGCATGCAACTTAGTACAATGTGCAGTTATACTAGGTAAAGATGTCCTGTGCTTAACTAATTAAGCACTATGCCATGAAGACATATGGGAGAGTGGACGTATAGATCCACATTAATTTCCTGAATCCAATAATATAACAAAAGAAAACTAAGCTAGAATTTGCAGCATACAGAAGATGTACACAGAGATCATAATACCCAACAACTTGTATCACCCACATGAATAACATATATCAAGTATTATTTACTTATTAAATAGATTACTAACACATCCAACAACAGAACAAAAAATAGAAAAATGAAAATGAAAAAAGGAAATGCACGAGCGAATACGAAAGAAAGAGAACTATATGTCATAAAAACACTACACAACAATAAATACAATATGAACTGAATCAGGAGACCACTCCACTACACACGAACAGAATGAAAACATTGATCCATAGCACCAAACAAAAAAATGGGCTACCTTCAAACACACTGGAAAAGAAACACTGTGGATTACAAACCTCTTTAAAGAAAGACCAATAAAATAGCATTCACAACACAAACACAACACAAAACATAATAAAACAATACTTGTAAATAGATAAATATGAAAAGTGCCATATACCTAATGAAATGCTTAGATTGCCCATTGAAATACATAGGACAAACAGGTAGAACATGCCATACAAGATGTAAAGAACATACACAGGCAATTAGAAGCAATAATGGCAACTCTGGATATTCAAACCATATACTGAACATAGGACATACACATTGCACTATATCAGACACAATAGATGTTACAAAAAACAGAAATATACCATATATATAAAATTGGTAAAGACAGATCACACATGAACAACACATACATTGATACTTATAACCCAACATTTGAAACACTACACCAGATAGTACACAAGCCTCAACCCCTTATATGAAACAGAACCAGCCCCACAACACACTCATAACATCAACTCTGTACACTAAGCAGATAACAAGCATACCAAAAAGTATAAAGTATAAAAAGTATAAAAGTATATATACATATTTAACACCATTAACAATATACAACTTAAAAGAATTCCAAGAAGAGAAAATATTAACATTATTTATTATTATACATTACAGAGATCACAGCAGGACCTACAATGACTTCATTTAGAAACATTATATATATGAAAATGCCGATCACAGTAATACATAAGGCACAGCAGTTCCACCAAATTTAAAAGAATCTGATGATGGCCGAGTAGACCAAAACACACAGCGCAGTGATAAATTTATAAAGGGTTTAATGCTAAATCTTAACATTATTGCATGGTGGGATGGTAAACAAAACCAAAAGTAAATTTCTTTGGTACCATTTTTATACTTGCAAAAAAAAAAAAAAAAAACATTACTGAATTTGACAATGTGTTTTTCTTCAAATACCTTTAATGATGATACTTCAGCAGAAACTGTTTCAAAGATACAAACATTTCTTCAATACTAATGCCATCATCAGTCAAAATCAGCCAACAGCTTCAAATATGGGGGATTTATTCCCTTATTTCCATGCAATACAGGTGAAATGGGAATGTCACCGTATGCATTCTACCTTACTAAAACTCAGAATAGTACTGCATTCAAAATCAGTGTACCAGAAGATCCTTTATAGAAGCTGACATCTTCTTTCCCACACTTCTTCTTCACCATATCCATTCTCTTTGCCTTATGACAAGGTTTCTTCAGTGACACCAGAGCATCCTTCTTCATTTGTGAATAAAACAAAAATAATTTGTTTAGCAGTTCATAATGAAGTAACCTCATATTTCATGCCTCCAAAAGCTTGGTTTATGGATATCTTTCTAGAAATGGATACAGCGGATCCAGAATTTGGATGTTCAAAATAAACTTAATAAAAACAAAAACATAACTAGCATTTCACAACCTTTGGGTCCAATGTGTTTATAAAAATAAAGACAACAGAATTCATCCCAGGCAGAGTTCATAAAGCCTGCAGTAACATACACATTGTGCTGTTAATGTCATGTCATAGGAATCACAGTCCAGTCTATTTTTTTTACAGTTTGCAACTGCAAATAGGCCTATGTATCAGATCACTGCTATGGTTTTCTGTATGGAAAAATTTATTACTCAAATACAGATTTTGTCTACATTGATTTGTTGGACATAATCTTAAAATTTCACAATATATTTTTCATTTTATTTTATTCCTTTACATTCGTTGTATAACAATGTTCTCAGTACCAAGACTATACAGGGTGTTTCACGACTTTAGGGCATAACTACAGGAGGTGATTTCCTAGGTCTTTGTGATCAAAAAAGTTCATATAAACATCTGTCTGATTTTGGACGGTTACAGAGTTATGACCGTTTTAAACTTACGTAGCCTTATGTAGCTCTCAAGTGTCGAGATAACGAGAATGCTCTGTCTGTAGCTGGCTAAAGATAGCGACCCACCAGCTGACAGACGCGGTTCACATGAGGGCGTGTACGGGAATGAAAAAACGGTTATAACTCCGTAACCATCCAAAATCGGACACATGTTTATATGAACTTTTTTGATCACAAAGATCTAGGAAATCACCTCCTGCAGTTATGCCCTAATGTCGGGAAACACCCTGTAGAGGGTTGATAGGATGATTAATAAATACTGACAAGATATCTCACATCAAATTTTAGATGGCTAGCTTCAAGTTATGATCACCAAATCAATAACTAAATACAGATTTCATACAGTCACTTTTTGCTACTTTAAATTCTACAAAAGAAAATTACCAAAATAAAAGTTGCATATTTTTCAAAGGTCTATTATTACATGTAATTCCTGGCCCTAGATTAAGTGCCTACAGTGTAGCACATACAAGGTTATGATTACAAAGTATAGAAACTGACACAGGCATACCCCAAATGACATAGCCAGTTTTTGTGAAAATTGGTCAACTGGTTCAAATTTAGGGCAGTCCTCTCTGCATATGAAGGACAGAATCAAGATCATTTGACCTAATCATGAGGGAAGTCTCCACTTTGTCTCTCTTTCACACACACACACACACACACACACACTCTTCATTCTTTGCAAAAAATTTTATACTATAGGGCTAATGTAAATGTTTATTATAAGTACACAATATAAAGACTTAAGTACAAATTTTATTAGTACTGAACAGAGCTGACAGCATCCAGTGTTAGTGTACATATTTAAAATATATGCAGAGAATTACATGATTAATAAACATATAAAAAACAGTCAGTGAAAGACTGGTTGGTACCTTAAATTCTGTTATATTTTGACCATTATAACTCAGTCCGCATCATACCATTTTGCCAAATTATTTACATAAGAGTGGCACAAAACTCAAGTTAAAAGAAAAAAAGACATGCAGGCCAACAACTTCCAACTGAATGTTGTAGTTGTGTAGGTAGCACTCCTGTCTCATACACAGATGGCCCTGGCTTCAAACTTCAGCCAAAACATTGGCTATCCTGACTGAGGATCTTGATGATCTCCTTCAGTCCTGTCATATATAAGGATAGTACCTTGGATTAGGTGACAAATGCTTCCTTCTACATCTTTTCATATCAATCACTTGTTACCAGATAGTCCAAACTACTGCAGTTTCCTACTGCAGAATGAATAGTAAACATAAAAATGAATCACAAAATACATGTGCACAATACCACGTCTATACAGCAGTCAAGTCTGCTATGATGACAAGAAAGTATTGGTTTATAGTTTATGGATGCAGTTTACATCCTCCTTCCCATTTCTTTTTAATTACATGAGTAAATTTCAAGAACTTCCAATATTTATATGCTGTGATAAAATAGCATTCATTTAATTACATGTATATTTTAATTTATTCTGATTTATATGCTGAAATATTGTGATGGATATTATTTCCTTGTGAAATAAATTCAGTCATCATTATTTTATTTGGTATATGAAGCAGTTCATAGGTAGTATATGTTTATGCAGTTTATTAAATATTCTACACATTTCCTTGTGAATAAATCTATTCTAGGATCAACAGTGTAGTATACCTATTTCTTGAGAAACCATGCAGTCCATGTTCATAATTACATATTATCACTTTCTTTGCAAAAAAAAAAAACGAATTTGGCCATTCTGTTTTGCCATGTTATTGATTAAACTACTGCGTGCTTCAGGCTATCATTATATTATATTATAAAATGTTTGATAACATTATTCTATGTAGTCCCAATGCCACAGGTAGGGTAATGTTTACTTGCTTTGCATTTTTTTTTTACTAAATATGACCATTTCTTTAAATTTTGTGATATTGCTAAACAGAAGGCAACCACATCTTGGAAGAATGGGTACTTCTGCTAGTTCAGAATAATAGAAAACCAACACAGTGCAAAATCCCCTGCCAAGAACTATTATAAGCCATACAATACAGAGATACAAAAAGTACTTACATAAGTACAGTAATTTTGTAAAGAAACCCGAACTCTGCTTACTCATTATCAAGTTATGGTAATTCCAAACACGTACCAAATGTTGTCTGCCAAGAGTACAAGATTCCGTATCCTTTCTTCTCTTTGAACTTTGTCGACCCATTTGTACATGCTGTTAACATTTTAACGAGACAATATAAATTATTAAAATACACACCAGGAGGTAACATGCTCGTTTACTGCATGAATACGTTTTAAATTCTTTACAAATTTTCCTTGCCATATTTCAAATCTACAAACTTATTAGCCTTTACCACTTACAATTCAGTGCTGCACAATTCGTCACTATCCTCACATACACTTCTCAGTCACTAGGCAACAACTGTAATTAAACACAAAGAAAATATGAACAATTCACTTTGATAGCCTCACACTTTTGCAAACTTCCCCTCTCCCATGCTGCTCCTGAACAAAATTCCTGTAGTCAAAGTCAAAGTCAGAGTCAACGGTCGGTCCGTCAGTCAGTCTGTCTTGGTCGTCTTGGTGGTCTTTGTGTCGAGCCCCAGCCGTGAAAGTTACTGTCCTGTCCATATGGGGCGCCCTCCCTCACGAGGCTCACGAGAGGTCGGGTCTGTCATTTGTCAGTCATAGACGATAGTATTAGTCCATTGTCACTATGTACACTTATTTACAATTGAATCTTAATATAATATATACAAGGCCTTTGTCAGTCTAGGCTCAGTACAGCAGACTGCCCTATTTCTAGTAGTAAATTCCTGTACGTTTCCTCACTTCAATGTAAAGCACTGCATACGCACCCTTGCGCACATCGACCGCTAATCTACACGATTTTGCCCTACGTTTGCCATCTATAAGATCTAAAATTCCCCGCTCCACAATCACTATGATCACTATATCACAACGATCACAACACTGTGTCGCTCTAGTTCACAGAGTATTAGCTGTTTGTAATGGCAACCTTGCACTCACGCACAGGTGACTTCACGTTCGGCATTGTCCCGTCGGTCACGTCGTCCCGTCCCTACGGTCCCTACGGACACAGCTCATGAAAGTTTCCGAGGTATAGCACTTCCGTTGGTTAGTGTGGGAGGTGAAATATGAATTTTGATCATTAGGTAGTTCATCTCTGGTACGTACGAACGTAATTTTCGCTGGTTGGTGTCAATATTTCGTCTTTCATCAGAAACGTAATGATGTTTGTTGGAAATGATTGACAGAAGACGCGCTTTGTTCCCCTGGATCGCATCAACGCGCTGTTGAAAATTTATCAAGACTCAACAACTTAGCCCATTGCAGCTAGAAATGGAAAGCCTAAGAAGTGTATTATAAAAGACTTCGATATAGGAAGCTACCTGAGCAAAGATACATTTGGAAGAGTATTGCATTTTTCCCGTGATAAAAATTGTAAGTTAATCTTGCAATCAAAGTGTTATAAAAGGTAAAACTATTCTGTAACAGGCTTTTGAGGCAAGTAGGGTTGTGAGACGTCGAGGCTCTCACAGTTTCTAAACAATTGGTTCACAAGATGGCGGTGAGGTTGTCAGCCTTATGCGCCGATCGCCCTTTACTCGAGGAAGATTCCTGGTACTCATTTCAGTTTGAGGCTGAGTCAACCCCAGGGCCATAGTGCGGCTGATAGGATTAGGTCAATTTAAAAACCCAATGACATCGGGAATGAACCCGTGATCTTCCGGCTTGTAGGATAGTTCCTCAACCAACTACGTTACTGCGTGCTCCTCCAAGTGTTATACAAGTCAGAAATAAGGGACAGCAAGGTTGAACATCAAGTGCTTAGATAAATCAAGATTCAGAATCATCTGGAGCATCCGAATATCTTGCGTCCGAGAACTTACTTCGATGATCAAAAAACGGATATATATGGTGCTCAGCTATGCTGCAGGAGATCTTCATGCAAACATATACAGAGTTCACCAAATCATAGACTTTCAGAAGGGCAGAAAAATATGCCTGTCGTGTTCTAAATGTTTTGAGTTGCTGTCATCTGAAGAAACTAATTCATTGAGATATAAATCCAGAAAATTGCTCTTGCAGATTTTGGTTGGTCTGTTAGCGCCCATCTTTAAGGCCATGTGTGAAATTTTGAATTACTTGCTTCTTGAGATGATAGCAGGAAATACAGAGTGCCTCGAAGGAAGGCCACCATTTGAATCCAGTGATACAATAGAAACATACTCCCGTAAACATAATTGGATCGTCACTTCCTTAAATGTGTACCAGAAGGAGCAAAAGACCTGTGGGATCCTCCAACATTGGAGCAAACGCTAGCCAATCAGCGCAGAAAACGGCAGCTCCAACGCCCATTGGGTCCGGTGCCGCTAGCAACAGCATACAAATATTCGCATCTCGGAAACGATAGTCACTTGCAGCGCTCGCAGCTATGCTTACACCGAGACAGCAACAGCTAGTCTCCAAGCAGCAACACCTCCAGCCGAAGCAAAGAAGACCGGCTGGTTCGTAGTCAGCCGGCAGCTGTGGCTGGCGTTTCACCGACGTCACACATCCCATCACTGGCGTCGACTTCCTCCCCAATTTTGGCCTCCTGGTGGGCTGCAAAACACAACCGCCTACTGGACGAGGTCACATAACTTTCTGTTCCAGCCCCAGGCGCCAGCTCGCTGATCCCCAGCATCAAGACCATCAGTGGCAGCACACCGGTCGACAGCTTCCTCAACGAATTCCCGGACCTCACTCCCACGCCAGAGTCCAGCGCGAAGTACGCCACAACACTGTCCCATCACATCCGGATTTTACCAGGGCCACCGGTCATCTGCCGACCACGACTACTGGCAATGGACCGGCTCGCTATCGCCAAAGTGGAGTTCGGCGCCATGTTGCAGGATAGCACAGCTCTCCGCTCCAAGAGTTCCTGGTCTTCGGTCCTACACTTCGTACTCAAGGACAGCGGCTGGCGTCCCGGCGTCGACTACAGAGCACTCAGCGCGGAGACCATCACCGAGATCTACCACTTCCGTCATATCCATGACTACTCCCACCAGCTTTTCGGCTGTTCCTTCTCCAAGATCGATTTGACAGGAGCTTAAAATAAAATACCCGTCCATCCCGACGATATACAGACGACCACTATTATCATTCCATTCGGCCTATTCTAGACCCACTTTATCATTTTGCCTGCGCAATTCCGCCCAGATATTTCAACGCTTCATAGACGCCAATCTGCGGGGAGTCGACTTCTCTTTCGCCTACTTGGACAGCATCATCGTTTTCTTCCTGTCACTCGAGGAGCACGGGCAACATTTACCGGCTCTCTTCGACCAAATCCAGAGGTATGACGTCTTCACAAATGCGTCTTCCGAGCACTCGTGTTCACCTTCATCGGTTACAAGGTGTCCTCCGAGGGTTCCTGACGCCTCGAAGAACGAGTATCCCATCTTCAGGATTGCAACCATCTCCAAAGCGACTGTCAGCGCTGCCGTTTCCTGGGCAAACTGAGCTATTTCTGCTCCACTCGGCGGCCACCCAAGGACTGCTTTATGACGTTCTCTCCGAGCCCAGAGTCAAGGGCTCTCACCCTATCACCTGGACGCCGGAACTCCACAAGGCCATCGAAGAGTGTAAGGCGAGTTTGTCTCGCGCAACTCTACTGGCGCATCCCGATCCATCCGCGCCAATTGTAGTAGCCACAGATGCCTCTGCCTCCGCCATGGGTGCCGTGCTGTAGCAACGCGTCAAGAACGCCTGGTAACACCCCGTCGTCTTGTCCAAGAAACCTCGACCAGGCCCAGCAGGAATACAGCGCCTACGACCGCGAGCTGCTGATCATCTATGAGGCCGTAAAGAATTTCCGTCATATGCTGGAAGCGCACCACTTCATCATCTTCACCGACCATAAGCCTGTCACCTACGCCTTCCAGCACAAGCGGGACAAAGTCTCACCGAGCCAACATAATAATCTGTAAGCTGAAGCCTAATTTACGACTGACATAGGACACATCCCTGGACAGGATAACGTCGCCGACGCTCTCTCGCGCGTCCAGTCCATCATTGCGCCACCATCCTACGACGCACTGGACACATTGCAGGACTGTAACAAGCTCCACACACTCCTGGAAATCAACCACCGCCCTGCGGCTTGAGAAACTACCAATTCTCGGCACCACGGTCTCGATATACTGCGATACATTTGCCGGGAGATCTCTGCCATACGTTTCAGCTCCCTTACGTCTCCAAGTGTTCCAGCCTGTCCATGCTCTGCCGCACCCAGGCACGAAAACAACGGCGAAGCTGGTCCTACAGAGATTCATGTGGCAAGGCGTACGTAAGGACGGCTGCATATGAGCACGGGTTTGCCAGTCCTCCAAAGCCACCCGCCAAACAGTCACTCCAGACCTGAACAAAGCAACACTGAAAACTGTAAAATACAGAGTAAAACTTCCAAATGGTTTACCAGTATCCCTAGAAACACACAGTGATTTTATGACAGGCAGACAATATAACATGCTTACTATTTAACAGTGTTTCAAAGAAGGTAACGAGGGATGCACAACTTAAAATGCACTATTTATAATAAGCCAATAAACATATTGGCTTGTGTTGTTGATATTGATCTGTTGCGCCAGACAGTGATCTGATCCCTTGCTCGCTCAGCTGCTATAAAGCTAAGGGGACTGAAGTCAATGAATAGAAAATTAAGTTTATAGAAGTAACCAAAAGACCTGTAACATCATCTAAGATAGAAACTGGAAGCTATAGCTTTGAAATAACACCAGATGGGCGTAGAAGAGTTGGATGACCAAAACTCATATGGATGATTTTAGGATCCTTAGTGTGAGAAGTTCGATATGAAGGGCGCTGCACACAGGGATGGAAAAATATCTTGGAAGTACCCAGACCCCAAACTGGGCAGTACAGCCATTAGTAGTAGTAAAATTAAAGTAAAGCTATCCCTGTAACAGGCCGTGAAGGCCCATAGGGTTGTGAGATGTTGAGGGCCCCACATTATCTAGACCAGTGGTTCTCAACCTTTATAAGACCGCGACCCCAGTAAGTTCTTCTTTATAAGACAAGGGCCCAGTCCCAACAGATTTACTCGTAAATACCTTTCCAGTTTTGTTAAAGTTCATATTTTAAGCTAACGTAATATTAGTAATTTATTATTCATTCATTCATCAGTAATCTGTCAGACGACAGGTCCACAGTCTCTTCCAAAACAGTTCCTCCACTTAATGCGATCTTCTGTTTTTTGAAAGAGACTATCCAGGAAAAGTGATAATGTGGTAGTTTTTCCATTTGCTTTCCACATCGCAGTACAGCAGCCGTTCAAACCACTCTGGTCACGCCTGTTGCTATTGTTGTCGTAGTTGTCGTAGGCTGTCAGAAAATCCGGCTACTCGCTTGGCGATCTGCAGTCTTGCAGTTTTTCTCAGGTCGGCTTCCTTCACATATCGCGGCTGTCCGCCGCCTAGGTCCTTCACTTCATTTCGGCGTTGTAGTTGCTGTCTCAGGCCTCGGTTCCTGATGCAAGTGTTGCGTTCCGGGCCTTTACACATTCTCTTCCCGAACGTCCGTTTCTTGGTGATTTCCGGTGCGACCTTATTCTTGATTTGTCCCATACGCCTGTGTCCTACACAGCGTGTGATCTTTATTCCGGTGGCGGTCACTTCTTTCCGCTGGCATCCGAAGGTTCCCAGGGGAATATCCTTCTTGAAGGCAATTCTCCAACGTCGTGCCACTGTCGCGCGACGGGATGTCTTCCTGCAGGGGGCAGCCAACTTCATCCGGGGTCCACAGTTTTCCCGTGTCGAATTCTTTATATTTCGTCGATGTCGGTCCCTGCGCCTTTTCTTCTTCGGTTCTCCGACCGGCATTACTTCGGCGTCTTGGATGGGTACCTCTAGTAGTTCTGCCGCCTCAGGTTTCCTGTTCGCTGAAGTCGGCTCTTCTTCTTCTGGACGTGC